GTGTGCAGCGTGTTCGATAGATGGCCTGCTCACTGTGACATCCTGGGCCACGGCCGCAGAGCTGGCACTTGCCCCTGGGCTCCCTCTGGGCTGGCTCTCACCCAACAGCTTGGGCCCCATACTGTTTCTTCCTACTGAGGGGTCGGAGACTTCCGGTCCAGCCATGTGTACTGCGGGGTCCCTCCGGGCGCCCATGGAGCAGAGGTTCTGGGGAAGCAAGTTGGGTTCCAAGTTGGTGGCGCCTGCTGGGCCCAGGGCTGTGCAGCTGCTGTGTTAACAGCACAGACAGTGCGAGGATGCTTGCTGGCATTCCGGCGGCTCTGCCTCTTTCTGTTCAGTAGAAAGTTCTAATAAGTGCACGTCTGCGGGGACATCCACAGCTTCCTACTTGGGTTATGAGACCTGTGGTCTGGGAACTCTAGTCCTGGGCGCGCGCTGGGGATGGAGACTTGCCGCGCGGGGTGACCGCTGCTGGGATGGGCGCAGCACCTGTGTGTTTCTTCCGTCAGCGAACCTCAGTGTTCTGTTGACTTAATATTTCAAAACCACTTTTAAATTTAGATTTATTTTAAATATTTTTATAACATTGTCACAATTGAAAAACTTTGTCATGCATAGAAAGTAACTGGGGAATGGATAAATAATGGATATTTAAAAACATCCTTGCATCACCCAAAAGTACCTTGTTTTCTTTCTAGAAAACTGTGTTGCTGGTCCCTGCATTACAGAAGTATATACCCCAAGGAGCCAGATTAGCAAAGGCCTTACCTGAGGTCACCCGCTGGAAGGCTGGCTGGGAAACCAGGCCTCCCCACTGACTCCCGGTGCAGTGCTCCTCTCCTCTGCATCTCCGCGAGCTGCTTACTGGCAGTGGAGGCCAAATGACTGTGATGTTGATTAATATTTCATCTATTACTGTGCTTAAAATAGCGAGGTAGTGAGATAACCCATTCTCCCTTCTGCCTCCCCCCAGAGGAGGGGGTAGTGACTCAAGTGGTGGAAAATAGGTAGCAGAGTCCCCTCAAGGTCATGCGTTCAGATAAGAAGTGGAGCGGCCTTGGCTTATCCTGGCTTCAGTGACTTGATGGCAGCCCTGTTCCCTAGGAATGTACCTCACCTCCCTCAGAAGCTGCTGCCCCAAGGGTCAGTTCCAGGGGAGGGGCCTCTGCATGGTGACACAGGTCCCGAGCCTGGGCTTCGGTGGTTTCTGCCACTTACAAATGTGACTTCAGACGGCCACGCAGCTTCTCTGAGCCTCTTAAAATAGAAATAAATCACCAGTCTCCTCCGGGAGTGGGGAGAGGGAAGGGTCAAAATGGGGCAGGGAAGGTGCTGTGGTGGTGGGAGAACTATGGGGTGACACCTGTGAGGTCAAATGTCTCAAAATTAACAACGATGTAGTAAGAAAATACATTAATTTTTAAAAAGTATTCAAATCAAAAAAAGAAGTGCATGTATAATTTCCCTGGATGGCCTCATATATATTGGCTCATGCAGATATTTTTTTGCATCTTTAAGATAAATAGTATCTCCATTAATTTTTTTAAGTTAAAAGTCATAGGGCCTCCCCTGGTGGCGCAGCGGTTGAGCACTGGGCTGCGAAGCTGCTTGCAGCCTCTGCAGCGCCGGTTCGATCCCCGGGCACAGGCGAGGGGCCCACATGACATGCAGACCTCTCCTGCCATACCCGCTGCTCCCCTCAGCAGTGTGTTTCATCAGTCTGCCTGTTCTGCTCCCCGCTCTGGCTCTGGTGAATTCCCTCACCCTCCTGCGCTTTTGACTGTACCCAGTGCTTGTATAAATAAATAAATACCTCTTTAAAAAAAAATAAGTTAAAAGTCATAAACCAAATCGTATAAATAGTTCTGGTATAGTTTTTAAAATAATGATTTTTGGTACCAGGCATCAGCTGTCCTTGCACAGCGTTAATTAAGAGTGTCTTAAAGAAATAATACCAGTCTCCTTGAGAACCATTATGAGGAATAAATGAGATAATACATTTAAAATGCCTCACACGTCATAAGCAGTTAATAAAATTTTAATTTTCATTATTGTGGTTGATCTTTGAACATCATTTCTCGGAAGAAAGGGAGGACATTGTTCCTTTACAGTATATCGTAGAACAAGGTGCAGCGTCACATCCACAGTCGATACCACACGATTGTCTGTCTGGCGCTTCCATTTGCCCGGCCAGGTTTGGATGCACTCTGCTGACTTGGGAGCCGTTCCTCTTACCCTTTATTCCACACTGCTTTCTTAGTAGGAATTTCCTAACTTACAGATAAGTGAGGCAAACTTGACTTCCACACAAATCTGAAAGCGTCAGTTGCTTATTGGTTTAATCAAAATTAGGAACAGGAACTGTTGCAACACTTGGGGCAGTCAGGCCCTGGAAAAGGGCCTTCCGGCGACCTGAAACAGATCTTTCTCCTGGGCCAAGCCTCGGGAGCGACCCTGGAGCTCCTGTGGAGGGAGACAGGAAGATCTGGAAGCCAAGGGGCATCATGAGAAGGGAGTGGGTGAGGGCTGAGCATGGAGAGCTATTTGGGGTCCAGCCACACTGTTGGTGGCCCCAATGATAAACAAGCCCCGAACCTCATTCTTTTTGGGGCTCATCACTGTCTTTTGGGAACCCTTTGGCTCAACTTTAAAAAACAACTGGGCTCATAACCTTGCAACCCCCACTAGCCTTTTACTGCTCAGTTTACTGTGGCGGAGGAGCGGGCCCTCGAGCACGGACGCCTTTTACCAGCTGAGCCCTTTAAAGGTGACTTCCGGTCTTAAGTCAGTGGCCGGCCCATCTAGAACAAACACGGAGAGCGAGTTCATGGGTCTGTGGTCGGAGGCTGTTGGGCCACATTTACTTGGCGTTTTGTGTTAGAGCGAATGGCCACTTGCCCGGAGACTTGGCTGTAAGGGGGGTGCCTATCAGCAGTCTACCCTAGTATTTTAATTATTTAAACAAGCACCTCTGCAGGCTGCCACCATCTCTGCCTAGACAGGGACGGCAAACTTCGTTAAAGCTCCAGGCTCTGCAGTCCCTGTGCACCTCTGCAATGAGACAGGGTGCGGCTGTCTGTCTGCAAGAGCAGTGGCTCACTAGCGGTGGCTTTCTCCTCCCTAGAATACCTAAGTGGCCTCCTGCTCTCGTCCCCTTGAAACCTATATACCTTGTCAGGGCTCTCTCACATATCAGCCTGTCACTCGCCCTTTCTAAGATTTGTGGTTGTCTCCCATCACCCTCCTACCGACCCTGCATCGCCCCACATGAGCCTCCCCACCTGTGGAACCCATGTAGTCCACGTGAAGGTCTGTCTTCCAGGCTCATCCTCAGCAAGCTTGCTCCTCCCACAGGGCCTCGGTGTAAACCAGTCCTGGAATTAGCAAGCATCTCCTCCTTTAGGACTCAAATGACATGTCACCTGACAGCTGTCTCCCGAGAACCCTGGTGAAGTGCTTCCCCTGAGCACTCTGCATGTCCCTTCCCTCCTGTTCCCATGATGCTTATCATCGGCCGAAAGGACCCGTCTTCTCATTAGCTCGTGTGCTGAGGGCTCCCCGGCCACTGATTCCGGGACTGGCCTGAGCCCGGACCCTGGAACTGAGCCCAGCACTTAGTAGGCCTTCAGCATTGTCGCGTGGATTGCTTCCTTTTACTACTGTAGTACAGCACACAGTTGTTTTGTGTTGAGTTATTTAAAAAACAAATGGTGAAGCAGATGCTGGTATCACCCCCGGGGGCCTCAGCAGCGAGGAAGGGGGCCTCGCCAGCACCTGAGAGCCAGCGAAGGGGAGGGACGGGCTGGACCCAGCCTGCCTGGCACGCACGTCCTTCCTTGGGGACTTTTGTTTGAAGTAATTTATCTCTGATTTCTGGGCACCTTTGGGCAAACTCAGGAGAACGATCATGGAAGACCTGGGGAGCTGTGCTGGCTGCCTCTCTCCTGCTCGTGAAGCTTAGCGTGGGGCCTAACATCGAGCCATTGCTGTAAATACGCCTTTGATTACAGGAAAGAGTTATTTTCACATTTGACTTCCTAATGAGAACAAAGGAGAGAAGTAACAAGATCTACATAACATTTCTTTCCAGGGGAAGAAATTTTTAATGGCTGCTTTTTTGCTGTTTGATAATAAATATCAACATTGAAATAACTCAGAAGTTAGCCCGCTCACTCCAGCCCTTCTGAAGTGTCTGGACGGACGGGCCGGGCCCATGCGTGGGGCCTGCAGAGAAGAGCAGCGTCGGTGTCTCTCCCTCTGCAGACCCCGCTGCCAGCTCAGAGCCGTCAGGTTAGCAGGAGGGACACGTCCCTAAAGATTTGTCACGTTTGAGTGGCCACAGTCTCTTCAACATTGTCAGGGAATTTGTTCCTGGTTTTGTGTTTTTAAGATTATTTTTTACTGAAGTGACATTGCACTGTAATTGTCATAACAATTGTAAGTTTCAGCATCTGCGTGCACGGCGTGAAGGGGACAGGGCATTTCTGCCCTTTGCCGTCCCCTCGCCCCTTTTGCCCGAGTTGGCCAGCCCACGTCCCCCTTCAGGTGACCGCTAGGTGGGCTTACAGCCTGGTGGTTTATTTTTGTTTTATTTAGCTTATCCGTTCGCGTGTTTGCTCTTCGGGCCACGCAGGAATAGATGAAACGCGGCTTTTGGCTTCCTCCGGGGACTGTTGCTTGAGGGTGTCCCGTGACAGTCTTTTGAAACCAGGTCTTCATGGCGTTAGCCCCATTTGCCCATAAAATGCAGGATCACCTGTGTTGTAAGTGCCAACTTAAAAATAATTTGCTGTAGAAAACAAATCTCTGCAACTATTATTTCTTAATGACAAGTTTCATTAGGGCCCAAAGAAAACTCAGCTGTGCAAAGCGCTCGTCCCACCCGGACGTGGCCTTCATCGCGGGGCGGGGAGGGACAGACAGACCCCGGGGAGGACTGTGCCTCTCCCTCGCAGAGCCCTGACCTGCTACTGAGTGTTTGAATCTGATTCTCTCTGTAGATTGCTGCTAAAATTGATTCAATTCCTCACTTGAATAATTCCACACCCCTAGTGGACCCCTCAGTGTACGGCTACGGAGTGCAGAAGCGGCCCCTGGATGATGGAGGTAAGTGCACGCTCGCTGGCGGGCTGGCCCCTGCCGGTCACGCCCGTCAGCCATTTCCTCAGCGCTCTCCCGCGCCGCCTGCGAGCACGCTGAGGGGAGTGTTTAGGGTGATTTCTCTCAGCAATTCTCCAGCATTTGAGTTCTGATTTGCCTTGATAATACAGGAGTCTTCAGCTGGGCTCTCAGGTAAAGACTTGACCCCTGAGCACCAACTTGGAAGTAATTTGACCAATTCAGGGAGTTTGGTTTGATTCAGCTGTTCGTTCTTGTGGGAATTGAAGTTCCCCCTTTTTCCAAAGAACAGCTCAGATTCAGTTGTGTTTCTGCAGAGCCCAGACTCCCTCTGTCCTGCTGTAACTCCCACAGGGTGTGACCAGAGAGGGAGCCTGGGGTGCGTGTGCGCGGGGGAGGTGTGCCAGTGCCGTCTCTGTTCATCGTCTGCATGTGACCTTGTATGTTTGTGTTTCTGTGATATGTTACGTGGAGGAGGTCAAGGTGCCACAACTTACAGTGTCGTCGCCTCTTCCCCCCAAAGTACATGTTTTTATGTACATGGAAAAATAATAGAATTTGGCAGGACTGATTTCTTCGGTCTGTCTCTTCCGGGATTCTGAAAGAGAGGTCGCTGCTGTTTGTAACGTGGGACTCTTTTGGGAATTATTATACAGACTCACACTGAAGATTTTATGGGCGCAGCACCCACGTGGGTGTATGTTTATGTGGGTTATGTTTACGATCATGCACACAGATGATACACCTCAGGGCCCTTGAAATCGGGGTGACCATTTAAACTGCTGCTCCAAAATGATATGCTGCGATCACTATGTGTGTGACTGGAGCTGGTGATTTCTCAGACCAAGTCTGACTGATCGCATTATCAGCTTTTTTGCTCGAGCTATAAACCGTAACGCAGAGTAACCTTTTCAGGGCAATCACGCTTCAGTTCCTCTCCTGGGACATCAATATCAAAATAAAATGAAGCTACCCGGCTTTGCGTCCATGCCTCGTTAATGGACAGCGTCTCTCTGGCCCACTGTTCCCAGCAGTCCAGATCAATACATTTCACAACTTTCAGTCTTGTTTTCCCGGTGCGTGGAGTTGAGGTGTAAAACTTCTGCACACAGTAACAGGAAGTCACTGTCCTTTGCCCCGTGCATGGAGTCGTGCGTGGAGTCGGAGGTGTAAAACTTCTGCACGCAGTAACAGGAAGTCACTGTCCTCTGCATAAGAAAAGCCTAAATATTTGCAAGTGAAACCACTGGCATTTTGTAGATTTTTCTTCATTAAGTTTCTTGCACACACACACACACACACACACCCCCTTGGAAAGAAATTAGTACAAGTCTGTGAACGTCTTGACAGAGAGAACCAGGGAGCAGGCAGGTGAAGACAGTAAGTCACCAGTAAGTCCAGAATCTCATCTGAAGCTCCAGTTCAGTATTTTAATCTTTTTTTTAGAACCATGATTTTTTGCATGTCCACCTTTTCTGGGGGCTGAGTCCTTGTGATCAGAAAGTGAACGTGGTTATTCTTTCTTCTTCTAAACATTAAGCCTCTTTTACAGTAGGAAAGAGCCTCTCTGCTAGGTGCCAGCCCTCCCACACCCCGGTGCCCATCCCTCCGCTAGACGTTTCCCCGAGGGTCTTACATTCTGCTTACAGTTTTTAATCCTCCCTTTTGCTGAGTGCGTTTCGATGACAGAATTCCGCGAATTGTTTTTCTCCAAGCTGGTCTCCACAAGAGGATTTGAGATTGACTGTTGCCCACAGCGAGCGCCCTGGGTGTCTGGGGCTGGCCCCCTCGAGTAGTCTGTGTCTTCCGCAGGGCAGGGCCGCCGAGACCCACGTGTTGACAGACAGACCCTGGCAAGGGCGTGGTGCTGGTGTTTACCCAGCGGCGCTCTCGGGTCAGCCGCCTGTTTGTGGGTGGAAGTTTAGGAAAGCAGAGACCAGCAACAAACAGGAACCCCAGCACCCTTTTCTCAGCCATGAAGATCCCCAGAGGCTCTGTGCTGCTGTTGTGTTTGACTTGGCTTGGGCTTTGTTTTTTGGTTTTCTCCTAACAGGTTCACTAGATCACTTCTTTAGCAATGTGAACTTTCTCACTTGCCTGTGGAACTGGGTTCTCGAACCTTTCAGAGGTTAAAGTTTAGTCCCCCAGGACTTTTCGGAGGTGTCATCTAGTTTGTTTAATAATTGGACCTTAAGTCAACCAGAAAGAAACTTTAATGTTGGGTTTGTTCAGGACTTGGAGATTGGCGAGCAAGTATATGAATGGGAGGATTTTTAAAGTGCTGGGCAGGAAAACAAGGGCACGGATTTGTTCCTAATGTCGAAGGGGACTTGGCTCAACTGTGACCCAAGGCAGCTTTGAGCTCTCAGGCCTGCTTAGAGCCCAGCACAAGTGGGCACAAGTGGGCACACGCCGGGGCCGTGCTCAGGGCCAGGTCGCTGTAACTCTTGGTGTCTCAGACTTGGCATCTGCACTGCAAGATGCACCTCCCGATCCGCAGACTCCTGCTGGCCTTCTGCCCCAGCTTGCTGCAGCCGGGCCCACGCAGACCTGTCCTGCCCACCCCCACCCCCCCGCAGCTTCTGGGGCCAGGACAGTGCGGCCCTTACCTTCTGGTCTCGCTCCCCCGTTGGCACCTGCTTCTCTCTGCTCTTCCTGAAACATTCCCCCGTCCCAGCTGTTTACCTGGCTGGGCGCTCCTCCTTGACCTTTAGGCCTCAGGATCCACGGGACTTCCTGCTGGAGCCTGTCCTCATCCTGCTCTTCCGCTTTCCCCAGCGCTCCCCCCGCCTTGTCTCCTCCTGCCTTCCGCCCCTCGCCCCTTCTTCCTCCCTACACGCTCATCTCGCCAGGGAAAAAATAAATCACAGTCCGCTCTGAGCTTGTGAGTGGCCCGCTGGCCCTCCTTCTGGGGGCCGGTTTGTCTCTGGCTTCCTCTGCTGTGCGCACGGGGGACCCGCGACGCCGCCTCTCTCTCCGTTGTTTCCCTTTAGCAGTTAGCGTGTTCTCGAAAAGGAAGCTCTAAATTGAACATAAATTCGGCTAAGTGGTCGAGAAGTGCACATTTAAATTGTATCTAAGTCAGGTTGACAAGGTTTTTCTTAAAGGACCATATATTTTAGGCTCCATCCCACCTGCTCAGCAGCTGCGGTAACGGCGCGCGGGGAGCAGGGCCGTTCCAGTCACGCCGCGTGGGCCCCGCCGTCACCTGCCTCTGGCCTCGTCAAGCGACAAGGTGAACTCTGATGCCTTAATCTTCAGTTAGGGAGGCTGGGGGGTGGCCCCTGCTTTCCTTAAGCAGATCTCCCTGTCTTGGGTGCCCCTGTCTAGCCATCTTGACTGCCCGAGAAAGCAAGGGGCTTCTGATGTTTGACCCGGAGCTGGCTGCCAGGTGTGGGTGGCGGCCCTTCTGCCGTCTGCTCTGCGATTCCGCTTCAGTGTGCCGCCTGGGAGAGTTGGCTTGAACAGGCCTGACTTTGCCCTTGGTGGGAAGGGTGGCGCAAAGCTGTGCCTCTGTGGGGGTTGGGGAGGACTGAGTAACTCTGAAAATAGCCGCCCCCTCTGCCAGAGACCCAACTTTGAAGTTTATCCTTTCCTGTAGCACCACATTTTGTAATTTCGTCTTGATGGTGTTCTTGTGGGGTGAAGGAAAAAGAGTGCTTAGTGTACGAGCGAGTTATTACAGAAGATTGGGATAGGGTATTTTATGAGCTTTCCAAGTTTTATTTCAGCGCTTGTACCATAGGGCAAAGAGAAGCGGGGGAGGGTGTCTTTTTTTCACAGAAGAGAGGGAGGTGCCCGGCCTCGTTCGTGGTGAGGCCACGATTCTTGCTGCATGGTCCCTCCCACCTCGGCCGGAGCCGCGAGTACCAGAGTCTGCTTTGGACAGCCAGGAAAGGGGCGCTCGGCGCTGACATGCTGCTGGGTGGAGGACACGGCCGTGCTGCGGGGGTGGAGGGGTGAAGCCGAAGCTCACCCCTGCCAGTCGGAGGGGCTGGGGGAAGACTCGCCTTTCAAGCAGCAGGAAAATGAGCCAGGGCTGTCCTCAGCCGAAGTCCCTGGCTCGGGCAAAGACCTCCGCAGGCCAGGTGGGGAGCCAGGTGGGCATGCTGGGTTTACAGGAGTCCTTCCCTGGCAATTCCGCGTCTTTGCCTTGCTTCCCATGTGGGCCTGTCCAGGACCTGGGTCTGAGCCCTCCTCATGCCCTTTCACCGCCCTGCTTTGTGCATGGCGGGCATTGGCCTGTGAAAGGACACCCAGCCAGACAGAGCCAGTCAGGGATGCGGATGGTAGGGAGCGGAGTGTAGGGAACTGGCCGGAAATGTTGAAGGAGGCGGGGTCTGACTTTGATTTCATCCAGGTAGCAACTCAGCAAAGCTCCCGCGTCTCATGTGATTCAGAAGTGAGGGGGAGTCACGGGCGCATGTCAGTACACATGTAAGGTAGAAAAGAAGAGGGTCTTCCTGGCCGAGTACGAGCTGCCTGGATGGCTTGACAATCGGCTCGGCCAACCAGGTGAAATAGTAGACGTCTCCGCGACGCGCGTGAGCTGAATATGCAGTGCCGGTGCTGAGGGAAATGTGACAAACTCGTACGATCCCCGTTACCCCCTTCATAACCTCTTCACCTTGGGGAAAGTTAGATGTCAAATTTAAAAGGGACTCACCGGTTTTCAAATTATTTTACGAACTATGTGACCCATTGTGACATGAGAACTACCTGACGAGCTTTCGAATGCCCATCTTCATGGTACAGTCTTGCTAGAAACTTAAGAAAAGTCAACATGCGCTCAGCATTCAACACACAGTTGTACTTCTGGTGCATTTATCACCAAGAAAAGGAAAACTGACATGCATACAAAAAACTACCCACAGAATTCTTTTTTTTTTTTTTATGTCAGTTAATCTCTTTATTATGAATTTCTTGTGGATTGTAAATTCACCTTGAATTTTTATAATTTTTCATTATTATTATTATTATATAAGCTCTTTTTAATTTAAATTTTATTTTTATATTCCCCATACAATTACAACACCCTTATTTTGACCCCAATCCCTCCTTTCCCTGCCCCCCCCCATCCCCCATAGAGTGTCTCTGGTTCATAGTTGTTTGTTGATTTTGATATTTTCTTTCTTATAGTTATTTTTCCTGGTCCCTTATTTAAGTTTTCTAGATTCCTGCTATGAGTGAGACCATCCGGGATTTTTCTCTTTTTTTTCTGGCTTATTTTGCTGAGCATGATCCCTTCTAGCTCTATCCATGTTGCTGCAAACTGCATGTGTTTATCTTTTTTGAATGCTGAGTAATAGTCCATGGTGTATATGGACCACATCTTCTTGATCCAGTCATCTATTTTTGGGCATTTGGGTTGTTTCCAAAGCTTAGCTATTGTAAATAGTGCTGCTATAAACATAGGGGTGCAGGTGCTCTTTGGAATTGATGTTTCCCCACAGAATTCTTGATAGCAGTTTACTTGTAACAGCCTCAAGCAGCTCACATAGCCTTCAGCCAGTAGATGACTCACAAGCCCCACCTCTGTGGAATATTACTCAGTAATGAAAAGGAACAGGTTACTGCTGTGTGCCAACAACCTAGAAGACTCTTCAGGGAATTATGCCAAGTGAAAAAAAGTCACTCCCAAAAGGTCATGTACTGTATGACGCCATTCACATAGCATTAGGGGCTGGCAAGGGTTAGAGCTGAAGCAGTGGGGGCAGGTACACCTGTGTGGATAGGAAGAGATCACAGCTAGAAGGACCCTGGAGCCTAAACCCCTTATCTTAAGATACGGGAACTTACTCTGGAAAAGTGCTTTGACCAAGGTAGATGCCTGCTGCGTGGCAGAAGGAAGGCGTGAACCTGCTCTGCCATAATCGCGTGTGCTCCACGACGCACATGCAGACTAGTGGTTAGGGCTTGAGTCCCAGCCTGGCCCTTGGTGGCTGTGTCTCTTTGAACAGGTTGCTTAACCTCTGGGCTGCTGTTTCCTTACCAGTAAGATGGAGATTATATCTCCTTCACAAGATGAGGATTATAAAACGGGGAATTGCATACTAAAATATCTCTCCCAATGTAAGAAATGCTCCACATCTCCATCAGAGCTTGTGCTTATTAAAGCACATCTAAGTGAAATAAAAGCTTTATGAAACATATACGCTGAAGGAAGACTTTGTTTTCTATTTCATTTTTTAATAAAGCTGCTCATGTTCCCCTAAATGAATTTCATGACCGTGGATTAAATAGAAATAAGGCACGGGCTATAATAGGTGTCACAGATCTGCTTTTCATCTTAATTTTACTCCAGTGCTCCATGGGATGGGCACTTGAGCTGGGGAGGGTTCCTGATGGGGTTCCTATGACACTTGCAGTCCTCGGGGCTGGGTTCAGGCGCTGCTTTATTCCACTTGACCCTAAGCTTCCTGAGGGCAAAGATGACCTTACTCACCATTTCGTCCCCAGAACTTGGCCTAGTGCCCAGCACCTGAAAGGCAGCAATTTGTGGGATGAGCAACAACCAGGAGGATTAGCACCAGAAGGAGCAATGGCCACGTTGAAGCCCCAGCATGAAGGCAGGGTGCGCAGCGCTGTCACCCGTCCAAGCGCTGCCATGACGGCGCCTTCCCCCCGGCTCCCATGGCACCAAGGGGGCTCATGCTGGAGCGCACCTAGAAGAGCACCCAGCGAGGCCGTGGTGCTGGCCTTCTCTACTCAGGCTTGTTAGACTGCCAGGGAAAGTGAGGGTGTGGAGATAGACTCCGCTTACTCTCACTTAAAAAAAAAATAACTTGCAAAATGAGTAACAGATTACTGGCCCCGGGACTTTTTGCTGAAGTCAGCTTGTCAGTGTTCTGTGGCCCTGGGGCGAGAGTGGCTGCCTTAGAACACAGGAAGCCTTTGTATTGTCCTTGGGAGAAAAGCTTTTTAAAAACCCTTTGAATGCTGCAGAAATCCCGGCAGCTTTCTGACCTTAACTGGGCAGTCAGCAGTCGCTGGGGACCAGGATTCCCCGCAGACCCGGATCCCAGCCCGAGGGGGCGGGTGGTCCTCAAATCTGCAGGGGAAGGTTTGGTGTGTGTCTGTGTGGCCAGTCATGGCAGACCAGCCCGCAGCGCCGTCCCCGGGCCTCGCTCGCCCACCCGGGCTCCTGCCCCGTGCGGCCTGCACTGTGGCTGCCAAGCTGGAGTGGGGGTGCTTTTGTTGCTTGGGCTTTTATTCCGGGGGTGAACTATAAAACTGATGCACACTCTAAAGTTAGGTATGTTTCCTGGTGCTGTTTTGTTAGCGTTTCTCTTGGGAAAGAAAAGACACTTTTCCTCCTCGCTCATCGGGGAAAATGGGTCTGGCCAGCTTGCTTTTTTCAACCATCATTATTGAAATTGGTAGAGTATTGCTCTCGAGAAAGAATTTCTCATATTGTAGCATGAATATTTTCTCCAGGAGGCTCATTCTCCACAGCCCGTGGCGCCGATTATGTGGCGTGCAGCGAACCGGCGGCTGTGCCCAGCATCCTCGCCACGCCGGAGCCGCGCTCACAGCCACGCGTTTCCACGAGGTGGGGTGACGTCCACACTTGTCCTTGCTTCCAGTAAAATCACTGTCGTTACCACTAAGTGCAGCTTGACAGGAGCCCGCTCCGCCTCCCCCCTTGCGCCCTCTTCGCCACGGAGACTCGGAGGGACCCCGCACCCAGGCTGGGCATCATCGGTTTGCGGCACCAGTACCCAACGGTACTGGTCCCCTTCTCCAACGGAGGGTTTTGCTTTCAGACGCCAGGTGGGGACGTGCCGGAGGGGGTGATCCTTCCGTCACGCGGCCCTTGTGGGGAGAAGGGAGATGCCGTCCCTCTCAGGCCCGCCAGCTCGGGGCCGGCCTGGCCAGCAGCTGCGCTCTGCCATGTGGCCCCCCGCGCCCATCCGTCGGGGGGACATGGCACGCGCACCTGGTCCTGTAAGCACCTCCACGCATTGGCAGGAGGGTCCCGTGTGTGGCGCCCGTGACGCGTCCTTGGCCAACAAAAGGAATTTCCTTTTTTGTGATAAGCACAAAATCTTAAGTGGCTTTTGCCCAGAAATCCTCTGAGTGTTCTTGTGACTCTGATGACATCTGTGCTGGCGCTGCTGCCTTTTACCCTGCGGCTTTCTGACTGAAATACGGGACAGTCGTCAGCCTTTTGACACCTCTTAGCAAACAGCGCCATAGGCCAGCCGCCAGGGTCCAGCCCACTGCCCTGGCCTGGGGAACAGCACCCTCCTCTGTTTCTCGTCCTTTCGAGGCATTCTTGTTCTCTCTCCAGCAGCCTCTCTCCCCCTGAGAGAGGGCCTCCGGCAGCAAGCAGCGGGGCTGAGCTCACGGGGGCCTCCTAGCCATCTCCAGGGCTCTCTGGCCCTCCCCCTGCCCACCTGTCTCACCACCAGGGCCCAGGGGTCACACGGTCCTCCCTCCAAACGTCCAGGGCCGAGTGTGGGAAGAGGAGCCCTGTGCTGAGCCGCCGACAGCCAGCGTGAGCGCGCAACAGGAGTGTGAGCGCCGTCCTGGGCCAGGGCACCGGTCGTGCGCGAGCTGGATGGACGTGCAGGCCTGTGCACAGGCCCGGCGGTGGGGAACGTGTCTCATCCCTGAGATAAGCAGATTAATAGCGCGTGCTGCAGTATTTTGGCTACAGACCATTATCTCGCTATTGATCCAGAAGAAATGTGGTATTGACTCCGTGGCTTCGCGTCCTTTTGCGAGGTTGTTTCTGTGCACTCTTCCTTCTCCTTTTAAAGTCTCCTTTTGTGGTTCCTTTTCCTTTGTCCTTCTGCGACCAGCTCCAGTCGGGTCAGGGTGGCGGGGCCCAGGTCAGGCAGGACGAGCACGTGGAGTCCTGTATTTCAGGTGCGAGGCCCTCTGTGCTGAGGTGCCAGGCGGGCCTGCCTCGCCTGCCTCTCCTCCGTGCTCTCCGTCACGCGCCCCGGGGCGGGTTTTGAACCCACTTGTTAGCGGGGCGGAAGGTTCATTCAGTTCCTTGTGACATGTTTAGGATTTATACTTTTTCATTGTCTGCTGACTTTCCTGGGCTAAGTTTTCCAAAAGAGGAACATCGCAGGATCGTTTTTGCTGATGTCTGGGGAAGGAGACGCTCATCAATAGCTGAAAGAGGAGAAACTGGAACAAAAAGCGTAGCTAAAGCGGTTTTGTGGGAATGTGATCACAGACTTGGTTTTCATAACGAGCGGCCGAGTGGCTCCGCTGTCTCTGCAAAATGGGCCTGAACGGCCGTCATCACACGTGCTGTGAGCAGCCAGTGTGCCGGGCGGCGGTAGTGGTCAGTGGAGAAGCCCGCCCGGGCGGGAGCAGCCCGGCCCTCCTCGAGACAGTGGCGCCCTGCGGGTGGGAGGATGAGGACCGGCGCTGCTGGCGGCAGGGACATATGTGCGCGCGCTGTGGGAACTGCAGCTGCCGTGGGTTGGCCTTTAACAATGCTCCCTGAGCGGGGAGGTTTAAATCTCCTCATTTGTTTGAAAAAGAGAAAGCAGGAACCCTCCTATCTTTACACTGAGCTGGACCCAGGGCAGGAGGGAGGTGGAGGGAGAGGGATTTAGGCAGCGGGATTTTCTCCCAGGCCTCTCAGCATGTGGACACACAGATCAATTCCTTATCCCGCGTTCAGCTGGACCCCGGGTTAGAGATGGCTGATCACGACGTCCCCTCCTGTTCCGTATCACATACCGCATTCATTTCAGCCACTGAGCCTCAATTACTGTGTGCTGGCTTTCTGCCTTTCTTTTCTCCCCCTGAAATGGTAAGAACTCGTGTGAGGATGAAGTTAGTTTATCCGTGCTAATGCTTTGATTTTTCTTTTCTCTTTCTCTTTGCCACAGTAGGTAACCAGTTAGGGGCCTTGGTACATCAAAGGTAAGCAGTGGGTTATGTTTTATTATTTATTGATCATTTCTAATTGTTTATTGACCCGCCATCTGCACTGGAGTGGCAGGACGTCAGAGGCTGAGAGTGTGAACACGCATGGGCTCGGTTTCTGGGAGGCTCAGGCTCTCGTGCCCTTCCCAGGACTTAGTGTGAGCTCTGGGGGTGAGCCGATGGCGCTACTGAAAATCAGTCAGCATTAGCTGTAAACTGGACGTGTTTGTAGAACGTCGGAGCTGTCCTTTCTGTCAGCGTCCATATAATTTAAAAGGAGAGGGTGTGAGATCCCTTCCTGCTTCCCGCAGCCTTCCCTCCGCTGGAGAGGGGTCCTGAGGGAGGGCGAGAAGGCTCTTCCTCTTCCAGTCACGGGCTCGGGACAGAAACATGTCTTCCTCCCCTCAGCCCCCGGTGAGAGCAGCTTGTCTGAGGACCTTGGTTAAGTGCCCCTTTGGTCCCCTGCTTCATTTTCCCTCTGCGCCCACCATCAGGTGAGGTAGGTGACCTGTGGCCTCGGGGGCCCTGCAGATGAGCCGCATCCCCTCTTCCTCCGTGGAGGACTCAGGGTGCATCAGCGGGTGTGACCCCGACCTTCACCAGAGCTGACACCCCTGCTGGTTCTGAGCGTCGATGTCCAGGAGCTTCTCGAAGTCACCTGACAAGAGTAGACCAAAAGATATTTCCCTGAGTTTTTGTTTTGTTTTTGTTTTTTAATAAATTAAAACACTTTAAATGAGGGGGGCAGTAGTGGCAAATGCAGCTCTCCTGTAAGCCGTGATCAGTCAGGGTTCTCCTTTCCCAAAGCTGTGTTAGATAGGCTTCAGCCTTGCGTGGCAACAGAGCTTCAAATTTGGGGGGCCCAGCTCCCCAAAGGTACCCTGAAAGGTACTCACCTTGAGTATCTTTCCCCCTCAGAGAGTCTGGTCAGATTGGCCCCAAGGGCTGAAGAATGGCTGAGTGTGGGGTTGTGATAGTGGTGAGCCCCTTCTAGTGGCCCCCCAGTGCTGCATTCTGAAGGAGACCGCACACCACGCCCTCCTCAGCATCAGGAAGCTGTCCAGGACCAGGCGCCACACCCCAGTGTCCCTGATTCAGGGTGAGCTCAAATATCCTGGCATGTAGAGGGAACCCCTGTGCATCTGTAAACCTGAGGGTGTGAGCACCTCAGAAGACTTGTCAGCCCCACTGGGCACAGGGCGGTGAGGAGTGCTGCCCACCCATTGCACTTCCTCTCCCCGCTGCGCTCCCCTGAACACGGGCGCTGCGTGTCCCCACCCCAGCATGGGGCATTTCAAAACACTCGCCTTTTTCTCTTTTTTAGCCACTTATTTAGCGTCCCCCAATGGTAAATGTTTAGATTTAATTGCTTTCTGGGGTGTTGGCAAGTTGGAGATTGTCCCCAGTGCACCATAGGGCAGGTCTGAAGGTCTATTTGAGTCAGTGCAGTAGTTGTGGGTTTTTTTGTTTTGTTTTGTGGTGGGGTTTTATTTGTTTGTCTGTTTTTAAAAAGCAGGCACACAATGGATGGGCCTGTGTTTAGTGAGGTGAGGTCGTGGCTCTGTCCTGGTCAACAGTGATCAGGCCTCTGTTGGATGCTGTTTTTGTTTGGGGGTGTTTTTGCCTTAAAGGATCCAGATAACTTAGAGGGAATCCTAAAAGTAATAAAAAGGGTTACGAAATAAGGAATGCTAGGGAAAGGTGACTATTGCTCATGTAGACTGGCCACCATACTAGCAGTCTGAACAGCTCCTGAAACCCTAGGGATCGTCAGGTGTCCTGAGATTTGGGGGGGGGGGGCAGATGAAGCTGCACTGAGAGTGGCTGTGGCACGGAAAGGCAGCTTCAGAGGAGGCGGAGATGATGGTTTCATGAACAACTGGGGCTCCTCCCCTGACTCCAGGGGCCGGGGCCTGGAGTCCATTCAAGGAATGACCAGCCAGAGGCTCCCTAGCCCAAGGCTCCCCCTAGGTGACGTGGGCTGGCAGGCCACACTGGAAGGATCTTTATCTTCCAACATGGGGAAACTGGGGGACTTAAGTTAGCTGCAAAATTCTTTATATTTTTTTCTCCAAAATGTTCTTTGTTTTTAGGGCAGTTATAACAGAAGAATTCAAAGTGCCTGATAAAATGGTTGGATTTAGTAAGTATCTGCCTTCTCCTCTCTTCCTGACACCCCTCTGTCCTCATCTTAATCCCTCAGGCTTCACCTGTCCAAGAATGCTTGACATATGGAGTGTTCTCTAGAGCCCCAGGGCACCCAGGTCTCTCCTCAGATTGGCGGAGAGACCTGAACACTGGGCCATGGCTCCCCAACTCTCCCCCTCCCCCACCTCTTATGGGGGTGACCTCTGTCAGCCTGCTGTGTTCCCCATACAGTTTCTGTGGGCTCACGGAGCCCAGTCTGACCTGTTGTGCTTTTGAGCCTGGTGTAAATGTTTGTGGAGATAGTCATCGTGTGTGGCTGGCTGTGAAATGGGAGGGGCACATTCTGACGCTGTTCAATTTGTTTCAGTTATCGGCAGGGGAGGTGAGCAGATTTCACGAATTCAAGCAGAATCTGGTTGCAAAATTCAGATTGCTTCAGGTAAGGGCTGCTTTCTTTTTTTTTCTTTTTTTTTTTTTTTTTTGTCCATAGATCTCAGTTTGTAGGCGTCAGTGTTTTGCAGTTTTCCAGATTCAGTACCTTTGCTCATTGCTTAGAAGTGTAGGGGCTTGGGTAAGTATATGCGGTTGCTGTTTTCTTGTGCTTCTGGAGCGGAACTCCCAGATGAGAACTAGAAAGACCAGGGCAGAGAGAAGGCTGGGTGGCCAGCTCCTCGGATGGCCCTCGTGGCTCTGGCCCAGCGCGGCCCCTCCCCAGCACCTGCTGCTCTAGGGCCTCTGTTTTCTGCACCAGAATGTTACATAGCAGCCCTGGCGGGGCCTGGGGGAGCCCTGTGGCCTTGGGGTCACTCCTGGGAACTGTTCATTGGCTCTCCTGGATTACACCATCGCTGCCCTTGGTGGACAGAGGCCAGCCGGGTTTCTGGCTACACGGGCACGTGTTAAACAGAGTCCGGGACCATCCCGCGGGGTCCGTCTTGACCACGTGCTACGGAGAAAGAGAACTGAAGGCACGGTGTCTGTTACGTTCATGATTTTGCCATCTAATTTGAGTCTGGTCTATGTCCATAGCGGAGGGGGATGGAGGGTGTTCAGCTAGAGAAATGTTTGTCATTTTAAGATATTTTCTACAGTTTCTGGAAGGCCATAACTGCTGCCAGCTATTTCTCTTATTTTGGAGTAAGAATTTTGAGAGGTCTGAGGTCTTTTTTTTTTTAAGGACCAAAGTAATGTGTCACGTGTATTGTTGAAAAGTAAGATTTTGCTCTCTTGTGAAATGGCCCAGGACCAGGTCCACATAGATGTCACTGATCTCTGGGGATAACCATACAATGCTGGGCTATAACCTGAGCATGCGGACCGCTAGCTTCCTTGCTTCCCTGTGCCTCAGAGCCCGCAGCCCTGCTGTAGAGCATCTGGGAAGCACTGGGCCACGAGAGGCTCATCAGCACCCTAGCGGGCTCGCTGTGAAACTGAGCCTGGTAATTAGGACCAACACACAGACCCCCGCTGCATCCCCCACTCTCCCCGGGACTTACTATACTTTGAGAATGTCGGGTGGAGCTGCCAGCTTAATATACCCCTCCAAGTAGAAGCCAACTGCCTTTTTCTGGGAGCCTGGGCTTCTGTGGGGCTGGTGTCGGAGCCAGCCCAGAGACAGTCTGCACACAGAGGCCAAGGTGCATGCTTGCCTGATGCCCACCAACACACCTCGTCTTCTCGATTCTTCTTATAGAGAGTTCTGGGATTCCAGAGAGGCCCTGTGTACTTACCGGAACCCCAGAAAGTATTGAGTAAGTTTATTTTATTTACTTTTTCCTTTCACTCTTCTTCCTCCTTCCCCACGTGGGGAGAAATGGAAGGGCAGAGCTGTTTCTGGACACGGTCATCTGGGCCACAGGCGGCGCGAGCGCTGCTGTAGAGAAGGCTGGGAGGTTGCCATGCCAGGGGAGTTTTTCTGTGACCTTAGTAAGCACAAAAGGTATCACCTTTTTTAACACCCTCCAGAATTTCTCGCAGCTGCCATAACATCGCTGTCATAAACCAGGCCCTCGTGCGTGCAGCTGCCAGCCTGGTTACTCTGGTGACTTGCGTCTTCCCGGTTAAGAGCTCCTTTACTTGAGCGGGTCTGCTTCGGAAACTTGTCACCACAAACCATTGAGAATCCTGGTGCCAAGTGCCTGGGCCGTTCTCGTTGCCTCTCCCAGACTCAACGACCCGAAGGGACTGGCTCCTGGCGTGCAGGCCAGCCGCGGGCCGCCTCGACTTGCAGGGCCCCTGCCACAGCCTGGCGACTAGCCCTGCTTCCACCAGCTCAGCACCCGCCACCCGGCGCTGGCCGCAGACCCCGGCACTCCGGGCAGGGAACGTGCTGACTCGGAGTCTGCTCACGGCCCCTTTCCCTCCTCTGAGTAGCCCTGCATTTGGGCACAGGGCGCTAAGATTATGCCGCTTCAGCAGGTAGGGCTGTTCATTGTTTCCGTTTCTCAAGGAGTCTAGATGAGTTGATGGTCTCATTCTGCTGTAACATTGCAAGCAGCGAACCAGAATAAATTTCACTGGTAGGTGTGCATTGTGGGGCCAGCAGGAAGGTCTTGCGGGGGCCAAGGCATTTTTCTTCCAACGCAGGATAGTCGAGGGCACAGGCAGAGTATTCCAGAGCTGCTGCAACTGAGAAGTACGCGTCGCCACGCAGCAGCTGGGGCTGCGAGGGCAGCACCTGTTTCCTGTCTTTCTCTTCTTTCTTCCAATCTCCTCACCGCCCCTGCTTCCTCTTCTACCCAGGGAGTCAAGGCCATGGGACTCTGACACGAGGAGAAGATTTTGTTTTCTTCAGTAAGCGGCACAGCCGCTGTTTCAGGGCTGCGTTCTCACCGGTCAGAGGCGCCAGAGTGGGATGAGGTGGCTTAAAGAATAAGTAGGGCCGACAGCAGGGCAGAGATTCTGGTGCAGAAAAGGGAACTGGCCCGACAGCGTCTCCGCCGGGCAGGCAGGTGACCTGGCAGGGACGGGGGCACCGCTTCCTTGGTGCCACTTCCCGCCCCCGCCTGCAAGTCAGTCCGCACAAAGTAGCGTCCCTGAGAAGCACAGGGCGTGGAAATGCAGCGCGGGGAGCGCAGACCGGGTGTCTGCCTGGCCGCTGTCTTAGGGCCCGGCTCGCCTTTTCCCACCCTTGACAGCAAACTACCAAACATGGTTCTTAGCCCGAGGAACAGTCAGAGGAGAGTCGACCTGGTTGTGGAGAAGAGGTTTGGAGCTGGGGAACCCAGACGGTGACCGTACTAACCCTTGCTTTCTTTCTTCCTGTCCTTCTCATTGCTCGCTCTCCTGCGCCGCCTAACACCATCTGTGGGGTGTGTCCTCTGTGAGGAGGGTTGCACTGGCCTGGAGGACAGAGGTGTGCCAGGGACCTGGGTGGCTCTGCCCCAGAGCGGCTGACCTGCTAGTATGAGACGAGCCGTGTTGTGGCCTGGGTCCGGGCACCCTTTAAGGGCCTGCGTCTGGTGCAGGCCGCCCTCGGAGGCTCCCTGTCCAGCATCGCTCTGTGCTGTGTTGTTTTTCACATTCCAGCCCAATTGCACACCAACGGCGAGACCTCCGGGCAAGGGGCAGGAGCGGAGCTGGCTGGGGGGCCGCCTGGCTCCTTCATGTCCTCCCTGACGCGGGCCCGTGGGGCGGTGTTTAATGCTGCTTCTCCTGTGGCTCTTTCCTTCCCAAAGACAAGCCAAGAGGCTCCTGGGGCAGATTGTGGACCGCTGTCGAAATGGACCTGGCTTTCACAACGACGCGGACAGCAACAGTGCCATCCAGGAGCTCCTCATCCCTGCTTCCAAAGTGGGCCTGGTCATCGGCAAGGGTGGGGAGACCATCAAGCAGCTGCAGGTACGGGCCTCAGCTGCGTCTTCTGACGTTCCCGGGCTGGGCTTTGGGCTCGACTCTGCCTCCCCTGCTGGGCTGCAGCGCTCCCCAGAACCTCTGCCAGGCAGTTCCAGGCTCCCCGTATGTGGTCAGCGTTTTCTGAACGCTGGCTGTGGCCAGACCTGATGCCAGGACTGCGCTCAGCCCCAGTCCCTGTGAGCTTGCAGCGGGCCCTCCTTAGGGTGGCCTGTACCATTGAATGGCAGCATCGCGGGTTTCTTAAAAATGTGGGCAGCCAGGACTGTGAGCCAGCAGCGCCCTGTCATGTGTTACCCATGGGGTCTTAGTATATTCTCATTCTTGTCCAAGGCTCGGGGGACAGCCGGCCTCCCCAAAACCCTGCCCACGGCCTGTACTTGCATGAGGCCCTCGCTGGGCACCTGCATGTGGGTGCTCAGTGAGTCCCGCTTGCTGTTAGTCCCAGCATCCCTTGTCTGGGACATGCGGGGCCAGCACGTTTCTATAGCCAAATGTAACCAGCCGTACGTACCAAGAAAGGCCAGAAATACGCTCACCTGGGTTACATGGGCGTCACTGCGCATACGTGCAAGCAGGCTCTTACCTCGAGCTTTGAGCTTCTGAGGCCACAGGTCCGGTTTCCAGCCCCTCGTGTATCACACAGCCCAGAGCTCGGATGGCAGGGGTGCTCTCGGTAGCACTGAGATTCGGGGCTTGGAGCCCTAGACTCCAGGTGTGGGTTCCCCCACTCGTCAGTGCTGGGACCTTGGGGATGCTTCTCAGATCCCCCTTCATCGATGCATGAGGGCACGTGTCCCACTGGTGGCCGTGCCTCTACTGTAGCCAGGGCGAGGCCTAGCTCGGCGCCTGGCATTTCGCACAGAGATTTGTTGATGCTTGGGCATCCTGGGGAGCGGGAAGGAAGGTGGGTTTTGGGGAATGGTTTTCTGCATCACAGTTGGAAGCTCCTCGAACAGCCCCATCTTGGTGTTCTTGGAGGACCTGACCTTGGAGGCTTCTTCGGTGCCTGCGTTTTTGTTCTGACCCTGGGCTCCTGCCCTGTGTGTGCCCCCAGGAGCGGACCGGCGTGAAAATGGTCATGATCCAGGATGGCCCATTGCCCACGGGAGCAGACAAGCCCCTTCGCATCACCGGAGACCCATTTAAAGTACAGGTAGGAGAGAGCCAGGGAGCGGCTGTCCCCTGGTAATCGCTTATAAAGCTCATTTAAGAAGTCATAAAGCTACGAGTGCTTTTTTGAAGCAAGCTTGTGTTCCTAGTGTGGTGGTGAGGAGATGCCGGGACATGCTGTGCATGTGATCTTTAGGGTAATCCTCTTGAACTGCACACTCATCACTGCTTTCCTTCCTCTGGCCACACCTTGAATGCCCGTGAGGGCGAGTGGCTGCTGTCAGAGGCAGCATGGCTGGCACATTCAGTGAGTGCAGAGCGCCTGCAGGACTGTGTCCAGCTTTCTGGCCTCTGACCTGCTCGCCTACAGACTCCCTCTGGCCCTGCTCACTTGCTTACTCGCAGCCCAGTTTTTTGGCAAGTGCTCCAGCCAGCCTGTAGCAGTGTCCCATGGCCTGGGCGCTCAGCACAGGGGCAGTCCCACTGGAGCAGGGGCTTGCTTTGAACCTGCGGCTCCTCTGTCCCACCCCTGCTCAGCAGGACTGCGTGGCTGTGCTTCACTCCCTTGAAATACAGGGGCCCTTTCTCCTGCCCACCGCAGCCTGGCCTGCCTGGGTGGGAAGTGGCTTGAGCATGAGTCGGGGCACCAGCAACAGCCAGTCCTCTGGGGGAGCTCTTGGCTTTGTTGCAGTGAAGGCTTCCAGTCTCTGGCCAGATGTAACAACTTTAAAGCTGTGGTTCAGCTACACACAAAGTGATTTCATTGGTGGTTTTTTTGTTTGTTTGTTTTTGTCAAGATACATGTGTCAGATAGTTGTTTTAAAACAAGATTTTGAGCCATGGTTAAAAGGATCTCTTACCTTAGAGTCCAGTCAGTGAGCAGCCCCTCCCTCAGGCCAGGCCCCCAGGTTTCTGTCCTTTCCTTGCCAGCCTTTGAGTTCGACCTTCGAGTTCACCTCGGGGATCCCCTGCCAGCCTGAAGGGCGCTGGAGTGGTGGGACGGTGCCTGCTCCCTCCCCCACCCTACCCGTCTCTGTTGCCACCTGTGATTTTATCTTATATAGATGAAATACCTGAGCAGGGATTATTTCATGGACAGGTCATGAATTTGTAGGAAAATAATTCTAGCAAAAAGTTTCAGAACTTTTTTTAAATAATTTTTTAAAAAGATTTATTTTTAGGGCCTCCCCTGGTGGCACAGCGGTTGAGCGCTGGGCTGCAAAGCTGCCCATAGCCTCTGCAGCGCCGGTTCGATCCCCGGCCGCCGAGGGTCCCACATGGCACACAGACCTCTCCTGCTGTGCCTGCTGCTCCCCTCAGCAGTGTATTTTGTCAGTCTGCCTGTTCTGTTCCCCGCTCTGGCTCTGGTGAAATCTCTCACCCTCCCGCGCTTCTGACTGTACCCAGTGCTTATATAAATAAATAAATGAATCTTTAAAAAAAAAAAAAGATTTATTTTTATTTATGCGTACAAGAATTGGGGTGTAGGCCAGAGGTACAAGGGGTGAAAGGACTCACCAGAGACAGAGTGGGGAGCAAAACAGTGGATCTGCTGAAATACACTGCTGAGGGGATCAGTGGGGAGACAGGAGAGGTCTGCTGCACCATGGGGGTAGCCAGGCATCGAATTCAAGCTGCAGTGGCTGGTGATAGCTTCATAGTGCTGAGACTTAACCCCTGCATCACCAGGGAGGCCCTCTTCAGTACTTACATTTTAAAAGTATGTGTAGTCCGTGGTTTCTTTACTCAAGACAAGCTATTGTGTTTAAGATAAATTAATGTTTGATTTTTCTCCCCTCACTGTTTATAATGGAAAGTCAGACGTGCAGGGAAGCAGCGCAGACGGCTCAGGAAGCACCAGCGCCCTTGCCTGCTGCCTGTGCACCTGATGAATGCGCCCCCCCGCCACAAAGACAGCCCACAAACATGCATCTGATGCCCACCTCATCATCTGATGGCCTGTCTTTATTCAGAGTTCTCCAAACTTCCAAGACTTTGTTAGCTGGGTTTTTTTTTTGTTTTGTTTTTGTTTTTGTTTTTTTTTTACAATGTTTGCTTTTTTTTTTTTTTTTTTTAAGATTTATTTTTATTTATTCATACAAGCACTGGGTACAGTCAGAAGCGCGGGAGGTGAGAGAATTCACCAGAGCCAGAGTGGGGAACAGAACAGGCAGACAGATGAAATACACTGCTGAGGGGAGCAGCGGGCGGCAGGAGAGGTCTGCCCCCCATGTGGGACCCTCCTCCTGTGGCCGGGGAGCACGCGGGGATTGAACTGGCGCCGCAGAGGCTGCGGGCAGCTTCGCAACCCAGCGCTCAACCGCTGCGCCACCGGGGAGGCCACTTTGTTAGCTGTTTTTGTCTGTTGGGTTGGGTTAGGCTTTTTCAGAACCAGGACTCATCCACCTTTATTTGTTGTATGTGGTTCATTCCCGAGGGGCTGATGTGCGCGGGCAGGCAGCATGCATTCTCTCTGGAAGGGCCCTCTGAGCAGAATGGCAGGGCCAGGAGACAGTCTTGCCGGCTGGTGGTTGAGATCTGTGTGCTCTGAGCACTGGGTGGGGTATTTCTGGGCTTTCACCCCTTACCCCCAGAGAGCCTCTGGGGGGGCCCCTTGGGGAAATGAGTTCTTTCTCACAAACCCGCCCCTCGCTGGGTTGCCAGACCATGCTGGGTGGTGGCATCAGACTCTGGCCCAGCACGTGTGTGGGCCCCACGGTGACCTGAGAGGGCAGGTCCTCGATGTGTGCACATTTGCGTGGTGCAAAGAACAGGTTGTGTGAGACTGGACTCACCCGACCTCACCACTGGTCCCCTTAGCCCCACAAAATCAGTTCCCCCACAGCTGAGCACCTGAGGCCATTTTAGAGGGTTTCATCTTGATGTTTCGCTGGCATCAGGTCTTTGTTCAGGATTGTGTTTTCCATAAAGCCTTTATCCGTGTTTCGCAGCAAGCAAGAGAAATGGTATTAGAGATCATCCGGGAGAAAGACCAAGCTGACTTCCGAGGTGCCCGGGGGGATTTCGGCTCCCGGATGGGCGGCGGCAGTATGGAGGTACGCTGGTGTGACGTCCGGGGTGAGTGAGGCTGGGCCTCAGCTCTACCTCGAGCAGCTCACCTTACTCCTGTCTCTTCTGCCAACTCTGCCAGTACTCCCACTTCTTGGGGGCCTGCGGACGGCTGGGGCGGGGCCAGCTATGGTGGGAGGCCAACTCTGCACCCTCAGTACGCGGGGGTTCAGCTTCAGAGCTTCTCCCACTGCCCAGGTGCATGCAGACCAGAGTCAGGTTGTCTTGGCAGTTTGCACAGTGGTTGCGTCAGCCTGGAAGCCTGTTTGATGAGGGGGATGGGGTTGAAACTGTAGAGTGAAATGCTGCAGCCTGGACGGGCCTTACTGACATGGACACGAGAGCCAGATTCTACTTACATGAGAAACCTGGAGCCAGGAGCTTCCTAGAGACACAAAGTGTGGCCTGACGGTTCCGCGGCTGGGCAGGGGGGAATCCCTGGACACAGAGTTCCTGTTGGGATGATGGAAGAGTTTTGGGTGTGGACATTAGTGCTGGTCACACAGCATTGTGAACGTATTAGTACCCCTGAATTAGTGTTAAAATGATAAGCCTGTATATTCATCACAGTGATACAAATGAAAGAGAAAACATTTTAAGAGCCAAAATAGGTGGCATATTGTTGCTTTCTGCATAGAATTTGGAAGACGAATTTGCCACTTTTAGGTATGTTTTTATCAGTAGAGTCTGCTTTTGTGCCTCTGTATTTTTTTGTGACTTTTGATCAAATCTCAGACTTACTGGATACATTTAGTGGATGAGACTTAGTTGTCAACCATGATACTATTCCTGAGAGGAAAAAATTGGCCCTTTTAAAGCATTTCATCACACTGCAGAAAGATCAGAGTGCGTGCGTGTGTGCGTGCATGCGTGTGTACGTGCCTTTAAGAGTACAGACAGACTTGCAGGAAGCTCTGATGAAGCTTCGTGTCTCTGTTCAGGTGTCTGTGCCCCGGTTCGCTGTGGGCATCGTAATAGGCAGAAATGGGGAAATGATCAAGAAGATCCAGAACGACGCTGGCGTGAGGATCCAGTTCAAGCCAGGTGGGTCTTGGTGCCTCCTCAGTGTGGGGAAGCACTGAAGCGCCCCAGAAAGCGAGGACTCTGTGACTGGCTGGTTCTCGTCTCTTGCCCGCTATTCACCAGGTCACCCACCTAAGTCTTCCGGGGGCCTCTGGGCCCCTGTGTCCTTCCTTGAACTGCTGGGCCTGGCTCCCAGAGCCCCTCTGGCGCAGGCTCATGCTCGCCCCAGGGTCTCCAGGCCTTCATTCCTGCCCCCAGACCCGTACGTAAGTCAGGAGGAACTCGACGCAGCATTTCCAGCATGTGGTCTTGTCAGGTTAAAAAAAAAGATTTTGATTTCACAAAATTAAAGATAACCTACAAACATGTGACAGGACAAACGCGTTAGAGTGAAATCCAGTTCTTCTTACGTTTTGTAAAGATCACCCTTACAAGCAGAATCATCGGTGTTGTCTTTTTTCCCCTCATTTGTCTGAAAATGGGAAACCCGTGTCGGGCTGGTTTTTGGAAAATAGGGTCACAACACGACTGTCTCGGGCTTTCTTTGTCCTGTGGCTCCTCTGGACGGCTGGAATCCCACGATGGTACCTCATGGACCACACAGGCCACGCGGTTCTGAATCCGGCGGTGTCATTAGACTCGGGAACCAGTAGGGATGTGTTTCCTTCTAAATTTGGGCTTTTTCTACCCATCTCTCCCCTTGTTCTTGCAGACGATGGCATCAGTCCGGAAAGAGCCGCGCAGGTCATGGGGCCCCCGGATCGGTGTCAGCACGCAGCACACATCATCAGTGAGCTCATCCTGACGGCCCAGGTGGGTCAGCTCGCTCACCTGCGCGGGCAGGCAGTGCTGCCTGGGCCCGGCCTCCCCTCGCGCCTCGACCCCCTCAAGCAGGGCTCTCCCCGCCCACCGCCCGCGGCCTCTGCGTCCGCCCCAGTCCTGTCTGCATGTCTTCAGCTGCTGGTTTGTTCCTCTCCTGCCTTGGCCATCCCAAAATCTAAGTTTTCTTTGTGTAGTAAGTTCTGACTTTAAACTGTTGGGGCAAGCGCAGTGTAGCTCACTGGGCACACGGGGTGTGAAGCTACGTTCCAGTAAATCTCTTCCCAGCTTAGCCTGCGTATCAGGACCTTCCCGCGTCGTCCTCGCCTGGAATGTGAGCGAGCTGGTGTGATGCCGTTGGCACTGCCACCTGCCCCTGTTGTGCGTTATTCCGAGGGACACTGTAACTTGTGGGGGTGCTTCCTGACATGTGGCACCGAGGGAAAGTGCAAGAACAACTGGATGTGAAGAAAAAGCAAGAGATTGGAAACTGTTGTCCCAGCTCTGCCAATAACCATGTGGCCTGGGGGACACCTTTGGACTTCTGTGGGGCTAGACGCACATAGGGGACTTGCAGAGGTGGTGTTCCCTGGCTGACCCCGCGGCCTCTCAGGGTGCGTCGGATCGGAACGTCCCGGTGAGGGGCTTCCCAGGCAGTTAGGATTAGACAAGCTCAGGAAAGGCCGCTGTGGCCCCCAACATCCTTTGTGTGCTCAGACTTGGTGGCCACTTGGAAGAGGCCCTTGTCTTTGAGAGTCTGTGGCATGCCTGAAAGTGGGTTAAGTGCCTGTGTTTTAACATAAATCCCTAGAATCACCTTTTTGGTTTGTCATTTGCCTCATAAAAGCAGAGTGTCAGCTGTCTGCTCTTAACGGACACGCGCGGGTTTTGCCAGACCTCTGTGTCTGTTCGTCCTCTCCCTCCCATGGCAGCACGCTCCGCCTCACCAGCTCTGCCCTCGACGTTGAAAAGATTGTAAATGTGTGGCTCCACAGTGGCTGGGAGGGCACAGGCTGCATGAGATGCTTGCCCTCGAACAAAAGGAACCTTCTCTGTTAAACATGTGCCATCCTGGGGACGCTGTGAGGAGGAGTCAGGTTTCTCCAGCCCCAGACCATGGCCTAAGACCTCGTTGCTTCTATCCTGGTTTTTGAGAGCAGGACAGCAGTTTTTCTTTAAAATCCCCTTGGCCTTGTTGTTAGGTCTGACTCCTCCAGCAGCGAGTGTCTGAGCTGTTCTTCATGGCGGGCTGGTCGGGGAGGGTCAGGAGTCACACAGGGACCTGTGTCACCTCCAGATGCCCACAGCTCTTTAGCACCTAGTGCCTGGCTTCTAGTGACGGGCCCGGTGTGCGTAAGCCACAGAGAAGGCCCTCCACGTCGAGAAGACAGCCGGCCCCAGAGAGGCGGCCCAGCCCTGAGGGGCGCAGGCTCCTGGCGTCGTTTATACCTGGCTGCCTGTTTAGTTGGGTTATTTGTGCTGTTTATGTAACCACACGCGTGTCTGCACACATCCTCCTGGATGCGCCTGTGATTTGTGTTAATTCTGCTTTTAAAGAGCACCGCGGCGTCTGGAACGTGGAGCCTGCGCTGGCTCTAATGTGTGGCGTTGATTACATCCTGTCACTTAACCTCCTGGAGAGGAAAGTGCTGGTGGCAGCGGCAGAAACCGTCACTTGAGCTTTGCTTCCTTCCCAGGAAAGAGATGGCTTCGGAGGCCTCGCAGTAGCCAGAGGGAGAGGCCGTGGCCGTGGCGACTGGAGCGTGGGAGCCCCGGGCGGTGTGCAGGAGATCACGTACTCGGTGCCAGCAGACAAGTGTGGCCTGGTCATAGGCAAAGGTGAGCGGTGGCCATGGGGTCCACTGCCTGAGAGCAGACAGTGGGGCGGCTGGGAGTGTGCAGTGGGGTGGCTGCGCCCAGCGGCAGGGCTGGTCTGTGGTACCCACAGCCTTCTGCAGGACCCTCCTTTGCCGGGTCCACTCATGGGCAGGAGGGCAGGGGCTTTCATGATGGCATAACAGGTCACAAGTAAGGCCTGTTGTGGAAGTGGCTATGTTGTTGGACAAGCACCTTGCGTGATTAACCCACCCCAGGGAGCTGAGAGGCACAGTGGGGACGACTTCTTCCGGCAGCCAGCACTTCCTGACGGGCTTGTCCCGCTTCCCTTCTGGGTTTGGGTGTTTGGTCTTTACTGGCGTGTCATGTGAAAGTTGTTTTTATCCTTTCAACACACTTACCCTGAGACTATCCCATGGGGGTAAATAAAAGTGAACGTGTGCATTGTCCCCCGCGTCCTAGAGCGCGCCCGGTAGACACCCCGCTTGGCTGCTGTGGCTCCTTCCCAGCCTTCCATGAAAAGCAAGGGAGAGCGCAGGCCAGTTTCTAGGCCGGGGTTGCTGGTTCACCTGCACAGGGTGAGGAGAGACTGTGCTCGGCGCAGGAGAGACTGCTGGGAGCGGCTTGTGGCCGGGGCCCTCCCCCACAGCAGGCTGGCCTTCTGTGAGTGTGAGCGCAGCCCCGCTGCCGGTAAACACCACCCCGGGTTCATCTGTGCCTTTGCTGGATTTTCAGGATAAATGATGTGCAGGGTGGGGAGTGGGAACAACCTTTTCCTGAGCCTCCAGTTTCTCTGACCAGCGTCTCCCTGGGGGGTGCTCATACCCCCAGGACCAGGACCTGGGAACCTCCGAGCACAGACACTGTCGTGCACCTGCTCGAGCGCGGAGCTTGGCAGGTTCTCTATACGCCTCCCTTGCCTCCCCGGACCCGCGCGGCCACCAGCACACAGCGGGCTTCGTGCTCACCTGAGTCTGTGTCTGCGGTACCTCTGAGACAGCCTCTCGGAGGTGGCAGACAGCATTGATTCTGGACAGGACGTCCCTGCTGACAAGTATCGGGCAACAGTCGGCCGCCAGAACCCTGGGGGTAGTTCCAGCCCCTGCTCTCTCCTCAGTGGACCAGTCTGAGGCCAGCCCACTCGGTGCCTGTCTGGGTTCTGTGCCCTCGGAGCCATCCTGTGCGGAGATCTTGGGCGAATGTGTCTGCTGGACCCTGGCAGCACCTCTCCCGCCATCTGCCCTGTCACAGGTCCTCACGGACAGGGACACCACACAGCCCGTCTTGTCCTCTCAGAGCCCTCTAAGAGGCCCCAGGCCGGTGCTCCATCTGCACCTAGGGAGCCCAAGCAGTTCTGTCAGGGGTCTTTCGCTACCCTGTGAGGGCTGGGTGTGAGGAGAGGTCCTCCTCCTTGGGAAAGGCTCGTGGGTAAGGGTGAAAGAGGGAGCCACACGCAGACGGCCGCTCCCCCAAGCTCCAGCCCACCCCACCCCCCCTTCCAGCCCTTGGGCAGACGCAGGGCCTGCAGGATTTCCATGATAAATGCGCATGGTGACAGATAGTGCGCCCAGCCCTGCACTTGTCAGCCAGGCTTTTTAGCAGGTTTGATTAATTGCTTTACGATTTCACATCCAGCCAGGAGGCCACTGGTGGGTCGCTTCTGCCCCCCATCAGATGGCAGAATGGAGCAGGCTGCTGAATGAGTGTGTAGACACCCACCATGTGCCAGGCCGGTGACCTCATTTTGAAGGAGGATGAACTTAAATTAACTCCTTCCGGCCCCATGCAATTTGGCGGTGCCTCCTGGCTTTATTCGCCTGCTCCCAAGGCTTCAGGGAAGGGGGTGTCACGCCGCAGGGTCTAGGTCTCAGACATGCCAGCCCTTTTGTGCTCTGGCCTCCAGAAACCAGGGTGTCTGGGTGGAGACAGGAGGGATTCCTCCATGTGCTGGGGTGCGGTGGGAAGGTCTCTGTTGATCCCTTGCTGTTCGTTACCCCCCCGAAATGGTGTTGCCCAGGAGCAAAGCCACTCGCTTCTCATGGTGTGACGAAGACCCAGCCAGCCAAGCGCTGGGCGTCAAAGGCAGCAGGTATGGATCCTCAGGCGATGCGCCCCCCTTGAGCAGAGGGAAGGGGCCAGAGGCTTTGCGCTGGCCAGTGCTGCTGCGTTTGGGCCAGGAATGCTTTCCTTAGACGGAGGCAGAACTTCAGAAACCATGATCACGAGACCTTGGTCTGCTGACTTATTTTGAACTTGCTTTTAAATTTAAAACCACCCTAAGCAGACCAGCACACCGGCTGGGCCTCCTTGAACAGAGCCCTGGCATGTGCTGTTGGCCCTGGGTTCCCCACCCAGCACAAGGGCTACCCCACCGCCGTCAGGAAGCCCATGGACCCAGGCCTCAGCTCAGCCTCTTGACCATCCCGGCCAGCTAGGCCCTGGCCTGTGCCTGCTCTTGGTGTCCCCGACCAGCCCGTGACAAGTAGTAGAGAGCCGGCCAGTGTGGGGGTGGACAGCAGACTGGAGGTGTCTCGGGGGCGCAGCAGTTGTCATTTTAGGGTACTTTTGACTCCCAGGAGGGTGGCCCAGGGGCTGATCATTTGGGAATGCCTGGTACCCTGCACCAGGTTTTTCACTGATTGTCTTTATTCGGTTTTGCAAAGCTCTTTTCCTTGTATTCTGGCTGCCCCCTCCCCCTCCCCAACCCCGCAGGCAAAGCTGATCTGTAAGTTCTGTGAAATTTCAAAAGAAGAATCAAACCATTGTTATACTGGTGGAGCTTTTGTTACGCAAATTTCATTAAGAGACTGGGACTCTCACAAGTTTTTCAAAGAGTCCAACTAAATTTTCATTAGCCCCGCTCCACCCAGGCCTCTCTGACCCCGCGCTCCGGCTGCCTCTCTGTCTAAGCCTGACTCCCTGGCGGAGGAGGCAGGGACTTGAGAAGGACAGGACAGGACTTAAAGGCCCACGTGGGCTCTGGGCATTGTAGGGGGCTGGGGGCAACAGTGCGTTGCCCCTCACCTAGGTCGAAGGCCCCACTGTGCCTGGAAGAGCCCCCAGGTTGCCACTCTTGGACTGAGAAGGAGGAGTGCCTTCGGGCTGGGGACCCGCTGAGATTCAAGGCGGGTGAGGATGGAGGTGCTGCCTGTGGCCTCAGCTTCCCGGCAAACAGCAGGTTTTGCGCTTGAGAGCGAGAGCCTGGTGTGGGTTCAAGCCCTTTTATTTTTTTATTTTTTAAATAATTTTTAGGTAGTTTTTTTTTTTTTTTTAAGATTTGTTTATTTATTTATGTAAGCACTGGGTACAGTCAGAAGCGCGGGAGGGTGAGAGAATTCACCAGAGCCAGAGCGGGGAGCAGAGCAGGCAGAAGGACCGAAGGACACTGCTGAGGGGAGCAGCGGGCGGCAGGAGAGGTCTGCGCGCCATGCGGGACCCTCCTCCGGGGGCCGGGGAGCAGCCGGGGATCGAACCGGCGCTGCAGAGGCTGCGGGCAGCTTCGCAACCCAGCGCTCAACCGCTGCGCCACCGGGGAGGCCCTCAAGCCCTTTTAAAGCACATAGAAATTTCTATCACCAACGGTCACATCGGTCACATCGCAAGGGAGAAAAAATGTAACCGCGTTTAGTATCATTTCACGACACACGCAGATATTTTATTGTCACGTTGTACCCCTGAGCCTAATGCCGGCCGGGTCCATTGTCTCCGTTTTTGAAAGCTGCTTTCTTTGCAACGCTGAATAGAAAGTTCTTTACTCAGAGCACGTGCAGTGTGCTCCCTCCCGTCCTCGAGCCAGGACCTGTGCTCACCCACCGGCCTTGTGTCCTGCCACAGGCGGGGAGAACATCAAGAGCATAAACCAGCAGTCGGGAGCACACGTGGAGCTCCAGCGCAGCCCGCCCCCCAACACGGACCCCAGCCTGCGGATATTCACCATCAGAGGGGTCCCGCAGCAGATCGAGGTGGCCAGACACCTCATAGACGAGAAAGTTGGCGTACGTACAGGCCCTCTCCCCGCCCGCTTCCCGAGGGCTGGGCTTTCTGTGGGGTGTTCCCGGCACCTGTTTCCCCGGCTGCTGGGACTCCTGCGCCTCTCCGCCCTCATCCCACGAGGGTCCCCTCCACGTTGCCGAGGGGGAGGGTCGGGGCCAGGGATGGCCAGGCCCGGGCCCTGAAGTGACGGAGGGAGCCTCTGGCAGGACTGACAGGGCCACAGCAGCACAAGCCCTCCCGGCGCAGGCTTAGCCTAGCCGCTCTGCTGACTCCCGCTGGCGCCGCCTTGGCAGCCAGCCTGCAGGCCGCGCTCATTGACTCTGGCTTTAGTTTCAGGCACCTCAAAGCAGATAAAGAGAGGGAGTGTTGGTGGAGGACAGATTGGCCACTGCTCACTTCCAAGGGGACGTAGAATGGCAGAGAGGCGTGGGCCTGCCTAAATTGACGGGAGAGGCAAGCAGGTTGGTCCCTACCCCCAGGGCACCATGCTAGGGCCCTGGCGGTGGCGCCAGGCCTGACTGTGCGGCGGTCGCGGTCACTTGGGCGGAAGCCATTTCTGCACATCCAGCCCCCTGTGGGAAGGAAGGCTAGTGTGAGCGCCGTAGGGTCTGTCCTGCACTCGGCTGTCTCCCCGGAAGCTGCGGTTGGCCTTGGGGCGGGGCAGAGGGCAGTGGAGCCAGCGACAGCAGGTGACAGTCCTCTGTGCCCACGCAGGGTCCTGGCCTTGGAGCGCCTGGAGCCTTTGGACAGAGCCCTTTCAGCCAGCCGCCCGCCGCGCCCCACCAGAAGTGAGTCTTCTCTCTCGGGCCGCTCCTCCCAAGGGGCCTCTTGCCCGCGCCTTGTGGGGTGTGCCGGCCAACCCGAGGTCGTGCATGCGGGTGGGCCTCTCGTCTTGTCTCACCAGTGGTCCCTATGGCCTGGCCACAGCCCATTGGCCATGATGGGTTAAGGGCCTTCCTGGCAGCCCTAGCATCTTCTCTCCACCCAGCCTCCCCGAGGGGAGCCCACCCCTGGGGTTTATGCCAGAGCCTTTGGTGGGGCCGAAGCCTATTGTTTTGACACATGTCTCACTTTCTTACAGCACTTTCCCCCCAAGGAGCTCAGGGTGCTTCCCAAACATTGCTGCTAAAGTGAACGGAAACCCCCACAGCACCCCTGTGAGGTAGGTGTGACCCTGGCTCTGTCCTCACGGGCCTCAGCTGGGGCACCACTGGCTTGGCTGGGGTGGGGTGAGCCGAGACGGCCCCCTGGAACGAGCGCCTCTTTTGTCGTCCACAGTGGTCCTCCGGCCTTCCTGACGCAGGGCTGGGGCAGCACCTACCAGGCCTGGCAGCAGCCCACACAGCAGGTCCCAAGTAAGTGGCCCGGGCGGAGGTGGGACTGTGCTTGCCCCACACGAACCTGGAGCTGGTCGTCCAGAAGCGCCCTGCTGCCGGCTCATGGTGACAGGCCCGATGGCCCCCGGCGTGGGCGGGGGCTCTGCTGGGTGGCTGTGAAGCAGGCCAGCTCTCCCCTGGCCTCCCTTGGCCGACTTCTGTGTCGTCAGCTCTGTCCTTCTCAGACCTGCGACTGTCGCTGTTCTTCCCCAGGGAGGGTGCGGGCCCCACCCACAACGCCTGGGCCGGCCCAGCTCGCAGGTGCCGTTGCTGCTCCCCTCCATGTGGTCACGCCCGCTCCTCTCCAGGGCCGCCTTGGAAGGGCAGCTTGCTGGTTGATGGGCTTTTCAGAAAATCCACACACTGAGGCGATTAGCTCTGCCGCGTGACCCCTACAGGAGAGCTGGCCGTGGACGTCCTCGCGGGCGTCTGACCCTGTCCCCACTGTCCCCCACACTGGCCTCAGGAACCATTCTTGGGGTTCCGTGCTGGGAGAGCCCATCTTGCACGGCTTTCAAAAGACCCAAACCGCAGGGTCAGTCAGGTCCTCGCGGTGTGAGGCCGCCTGCGTGCGCCGGGGAGTTGCTCCTCGGGGCTTTTGCCCAGCGCCTGTCCCCCGCAGCTCCGTCCGCAGCCTGACCACCTCCTCTGGGTCTCCAGTTTTGCCAGCTGTTCAATGAGGGGCTGGATTTGATTTTGAAAGTACCTGCAAGCTCTGAAAGTGAACGGTTGCGTTTTTCCCAGTATTTTCTGATGAAGTGTGTTAAAAACCCAGAATATGTCAAAGAACTTCTCTGTGGATGCCCGCGCCCACATTCCACTGCCATTCCCGTTCTCTGTCCCTGCTGCTCCTGGAGCCTGGTCCCGTCTGGCTTCCTCCTGCTCCCAGCTGAGGGCGCCCCAGGACGCGGTGCTGGCATCCTGGGGCGGCGGCGTGTGGGTTTCTGTGTGCTGCCGCCTGCGGGGACACAGCTTCTCCCCAAGGGGAGCCAGGCCTCGGGGCTGTTCTGCCGAGCCCCCGGTGTGCAGGGGCAGCCAGCCGAGGCAGGCGGATTGTGGAGAAGCAAACTCTTACTCCTTTCTTGCCTCTTCACTGACCTGGGCTCCAAGGTCTTGGGCTTGGTCTGGTCGTGAATTGGGGGATTTGGGAACTTGGTTTTGGTCAGTGAGGTCTCATTGGGGAGAACCTGCCTGCTCACCCGCACACCCTGGGTCCGAGTTGCCCACATTTCTCACTCATGTTCTAAGTCCCTTCCTGCAGTGAGTGTGGGAGCGGGCCCCCCCTCACTGCTCTTCCCCACCCCACTGCGAGTGTTCTGACTGCCCTCCTGCCCCCACCCCTTCTCAGTCTGCAGTGAGTTAGTGTTTTGCCCTGAGACACACCGCATGTGCTTCCTGCAGCTACAGACTGTCGCTCTAATAGAACCTAGCAGGACCAGGCGTGGCCGGAGGGGTCTAAGCAGGTGGGCCCCAAGCCAGCCCTGACCTGGACACAAGAAAGTCCTGACTGGTAGTCTGGCCAGGTCTGTCACTGGCCTGCTCGCCACCCCCCCCCCCACCCCCCGGTCTTTACCCATGCAGTATAGTGAATGGCCCCACACCACTCCCTCCCCCAGAAAGGCAGGAGGTGAGCCGGAGTCAGCACCTGCTGGATGAGCCTGGACCTGTTCTGAGTCCCTCATCTCCCCCGGGAGCACATCTCTGGACCTTGCTTGTCCAGAGCAGAAGCCTTCACTGGACAGAAAGGCCGGGAGAAAGGTGTGGCCACGAGCCTCAGACCACAGTCATCGGGCACCCACAGCCCCACAGAGTCCCTCCATCCTGCTGTCGGCCCTCACTCGCCCGCCTGGCCTCTCCAGGACTAGGCCGGCTGTGCCCTCCCCTGTAGGCCTGGCTGGAGCCCCACTGGGTGTTGCTCACCGCCTTGCCACCAGACCGGCCCGGACAGCTGTCACCTTCTTCCCAGGCCGGGCCTGGAGCCAACTGCGGAGCAGTGTGGCCGGGGCAAGAGAGAGCGAGTGCAGACGGCAGGGTCTGAGTCGCTGGCGGGCTGAGGCTGAGGCAGCACCGCAAGGCCTGACTGCTTTTGTGTTCTTCGCACAGGCCAGCAGAGCCAGCCGCCGAGCAGCCAGCCTGACTACAGCAAGGCCTGGGAAGACTATTACAAAAAGCAGAGTGAGTGCCTTGGCTTTCTCAGCAAGCAGGGCCCCTCAGCAAGCAGGCCTGGCACAGCCCTGCCCGCCCTGCTTTGCCACCGCATCTCTGTTCTCCGCTCTTTGCCCCAAGTACCGGGGTCTCGGTGCCCCCCCCCTTGCCTCCTGCTCCCCTCCATGCGGTCACACCCGCTCCTCTCCAGCGCCGCCTTAGAAGGGCTTCTTTCTGATTGATGGGCTTTTCAGAAAATCTGTCCATCCGCAGACGTGGCGGCTCTGGCCGTCCCCGCCTCTCCCTGCTCTCAGACCCCGCGGCACCCCAGGGCCTGGAGCTGGGCCTGGCACCTAGACAGGGCGTCCTTTTCCTGGCTGTCTTGCTGCCTCCCCTCGTGGCCTTTTGGGGCAGATGATGGACGAAAAGATGGAGAAACCGGGGAGCGGCGCCTGACCCTGGCATGCGCGTGGAGGCGTTCTTTAGTCCCCTCCCTCAGCTGCCAGGAACCAAAGCAGTCTTTCAAAAGGGAAGCCAAAAACCAGTAACACAGACAAGCCCTGAGCAAGTCATTGAAGATTAGACCTGAGCCCCTGCTGTCCCAGCGTGAGGGGTGGCTGGAGGGGCTCTCGTCGCGCCTCCAGTCTAAAGGGTGTCACCTGCTGGCTGGTAGCGCTCTGGCCGGAGGCTGGGCAGAGCGCTCGCCCTGGCGTCTGGAGTTGTCAGGGGGCCCATAACCGCTTGGGGGCCGAGGCGGGGTGGTGGGTCTTCATCAGCCTGGGCCCCTGTCAAAGCCTGGGATCCCTTACACGGGCCTGATGCTCTGCAGGAGTCAGGCAAGCCCCACATGTGTGTGTCCGTGTGTTTTTCTCTCTCCTCTCCTTCCTCTCTCTCTCTCTCTCTCTCTCTCTCTCTCTCTCTCTCTCTCCCCCCTCCCCCCCCATCTCCCCCGGAGCTGGGAGCTGACGGGCAGGCAGTAGAGCAGACTCACGGGCAGATGTTGTTGGGATGAAGCAGGGACCTGGCAGAAGAGGTCTCGGAGTGCCTTGCAGCAATGTCCCGGGCCCCCAGGCGGCCCGGCCCACACCCAGGAGAGCACCTCCTGGGGCTGTGCTCAGGAGCCCCAGAGTCTGTGAGAAGGGGCCCCCTGAGCTGACAGTGTCCTTTGCCTCCCCCGAGTGGAACCCCACTCCTGCTAACCCGCGTTCTCCTCTGTCCCTAGGTCACGCCGCCCCCGCTGCTCCTCAGGCCAGCTCCCCTCCGGACTACACAATGGCCTGGGCGGAATATTACAGGCAGCAGGTCGCTTTCTACGGACAGACGCTGGGGCAGGCTCAGACCCACAACCAGGTCCGTTGCCATCACCGAGGGGCTCGCGCGGACCCCGGGGCAACACTTTATTTAAGAGAAACAGCTGGGCCCCTCTCTGCTCAGCTTGGCTCCATCTGCTGAGAGCCCAGCCACAGCCATCCTGTCCCCCTCTTCACCCCAGAAAGAGTAGGCAATTGAGCCAGCCGGGAGAGGAGTTGGTGGAGCAGCCCCTCCCAGGAAGTACCTGGTCTTCTCTCACCCCCAGGCCCCAGCTGGCGGCGCTGGGTGCCACTGATGTCTCCCTCTGGGCCTCAGTTTCCCCAGCCATAAGCAAGAGTGCCAAGCTCAAGAAGCGGAGGCCCTGCCCCACTGCTGTTCTTGCGGAGGGTGGAGTGGTTGGTCTGTGACCATCAGCCCCAGTGGGCAGGAGGAGGGCGTCCACGCTGTGGAGGGCAGGGCAGGGGCCTGGAGAGCTGTGTCTGGCCAGAGGCCAAAGAAAGGACTTTTTCCTAATGTAGGGAAGAGGCCCACTGGTCCCCAGGGGCATTTTTCTGATGACCTGATGCCGGCGCAGTCCACACGGACAGCATGGTGGCGACCACAGGCCCCAGACCCAGTGGAAACAGGTGTCAGGGCTGGAAGTCGCTCCCCTCCCCCTAGAATCCCAGGACCTCCCTTTCAGGAGAGGTTGTGTGGGCCAGATGGAGGGAAGGTGCTGAGACACTGCTGGCTGCTGTGCAGGGGCTTGTTGTGGAGCCAAAGGGAGCCAGCGACCTGACGGCAGCCGAGTCGTGGCCTCAGCCTAACTTCTCCTCTTCCTCCCACAGGAGCAGTAGGACAGCGACCTGCGCGCCCCCCACCCCAACCCCAGAATCATTGTGAGCGGAAAACCTGTTTGTAACAGAGGTTTTTAAATTTGCAGACCTTTTGATGAAGAACCTTTGTTTTGTTCTGTGAAACACTATATTTAGATTAACAGATTTTTTCTAAAAATCGGGAAGATTAGTTACTAAAAATTGCTGATAATTTTTGTTTCATTATTATTGTTTGTTGTTTCAAACGTGTGAGCTCTGGGGATTCTTTCTGGCGCAATTCCTGCAAATACAGGCCCCAGGACGCGCCTCGGAGCAGTGACATTTCAACGTAGTGTGGTTCTGTTGTTTTGTTTTTGTGTCTTTATTTACAGTTTTTTCTGTTGCAACACAAAGTGGCTTGGAAGTCTTAGGTGGTATGTAACAAATTCTTTTAAAAAATTTTTAAACAGTATTTAAATATTCTTAAATGTAAATTCATTAAATGTTTTGCTTCTAATTTCTTGTATCTTGGCTGTCTGGTTTTATTGCATTTTTTTAAAAAACTGAACTATTATGTATTGTAATTAATTATGTGAATTCTGAATTGAGACAGATAATTGCATTGCTGTCCAACAGGGTTTGGGTGGGGACATTTTATAGGGTTTGTATGATTTCTAGAGCTCTGAAGGAGTAATATAAAATTGTGTTCATGTGTTTAGCATACTTGTTTTCATGTCTCGATTACCGGTTGCAAATATGTATCTAAGACCTCCAAGCTTGTTTTAAAAACAAAACAAAAACCTTTCTCTATGCTCTCAGAAATATAAATACTGTTATTTTTAATATTAAAAAGAAATTCGATATAACTTTTAACAAACACTGTGGAACATTAAACCATATAAAAATGTAGTAACTATTTTTTAATTCCAGGTGTTTTTGCTTTTTGCTTTTAAATATTTTCTTAATATTGTCAAATTAACTAGATAAATAAATAAATCTAGTATTAACCACAGTATGAATTACATAATTTTGATTTAATAAAAGGGATAATATGATTTCCAATGTTTACTGTAGTGTATCTTGTACAGATAACCTGTATTTTTAAAGGAAATGGAATGGAAGATATTTTTTCTTGTTTTTTTTTAATTGACCTGAGGGACATTCCGTTTGAAATGTGCTAAAGTTAGTTCCTGGTTTTTCTTCTGATTTTCCGTATAATGCTTGAAATGTCTAACTATTAAAAAAAGGCAATTGGAGGATATTATGCATGTTGTTAAAAAAAAAAGTGTTCTTTGACTGACAATTCATTTTACACTCTATATAATAAAATTTCCACAAGATGTCTTGTGGGCAAAGTATCTCGAGTCTGTGCGCTGCGTTCCGTCCCGGCCCGGCCCGCCGCGCCCAGACAGGGGTCCCCTGCGCTGTCACCCGCTCGGGTGCGGAGCAGCCGGGGCTCCTGGCTCTCCGAGGGGCCGGCCATAACGGCGTCGCCTGATGTGGGGTTAGACTGAGCGGCCGGCACCTTCTGACCTGGTTTCCTCAACCAGAGGCGCTGTCGTGGAAAGTGGGGCTGGAGGGGGCTCCCAAAAGAGGTGGTGCTGGCCCTGTGGCCGGATCGGCGGGCTTTCCTGCAAGGAGCCAGCGCAGCCCCGTGCCCCGTCCACACTCCCCCTACCCCTCCCTGGCATAGGTGCCCCGCACCTCCAGCTCTGCTGTTGGCGGGCTGCGGCTCCCTTCCCCGGCGGCTTGGTACCTGATTCTCTGGCTAGCCCTGCCTGGGCCTCCTCCCCGTGCCCAGCCCCCCTGCCTGCCACTGTACCGTAGGCGGCATCGTGCTGTGCCCGGCGCATCCCGGGGCCCCGGTGGTGGCTGCCAGGGCTGGAAAGTGCCAGCAGGTGTGCTCACTTTGTCGTCACTAAGGAAAGCGGAAGGGGTGTCCCGGGCCCTGCACTTCCAGGGCCCGCGTGGCCTGTGGGCTGGGGACTGGGTGGGTGTGGAGGAGAGCAGAGGAGTCCCCCTGTGCACCTCCCCCACCCTTGCTCTTCCTGCTTCCTGCTTCCTGGCGCTGGCTGGAGGGACTGGCCGGAACACAGCTCTGCCCGGGCGCCTGAGCCCGCCTCTGGCACGCCGGGGCCTGGGGCCCTCCGTGGCTCATGCTCGCCCTGTGTTCCCCACCCCAGCCCCGTCTCCACCCCAAGCTCTAAGGGGGGAAAAGAAGCATCTGTGGCTCCTTCAGGCCGAGAAGGGGCGTGGAGGGCAGCCCATCTGCGGCCGTGGGGAGCCTGTTGAGAGCCGGAAGACAAAAAGGAGATGTGGCATCTTTAACTACACCTCTAGAGAATCGAGTTTGACGTTGAGAAATTGAATAGTAAAAGCCACTCGTACGAAGGAGGGGCCGGGCGAGAGCAGGGCATGAGCGCTGATGCTGGTAATGGGACTACGGAGAGGGCATTACGGAGACTTCCTTCTAATTCATCTTCCAAGCTCTGTGCCAAAACAGCATTTGGCATGGTTCACAGGGAGCGATTGTGTGATAATGAACCCTAAGGTGTCCCTTAATTGAAGACTGAGCATTGCGGTTTGTGCCAAGAGTCATAAATGGTGCAGGCTTGCGGGAGGATGCATTTTCTTAAATGTATCGGTAAGTACAGATTAGCTCTCGTCCCCAGTGAAATGCCCATACTATAAATTATGGAAATCTCTCTCTGATGCAACCTTTTATTGAGGGGGGGGAGGCAGGGGGCATCCAGCGGGAGGCAGGGGGGAAAGTTTGCAAGCGTATGAAATTGGGTCTCTCATTAACATGGCGCCCACCGCTGATGGTTCTCATCAGCAGTCTGGTGTCCTGGAGGCTAAAGTGCTTGAAATGTACCAAGTTCAGCGATCGTGTTCCATTAAGAAAGCTGCATGGTCATCAGTGAGCCGACAGTCTGCGTGTCGGGAGGCGCTGGCGTGGGGCCGGCTTGTTTTCAGGACTCGGCCTCACCTCCACCGCAGCACACGCACCCTGGGCCTCTGCCAGCACCCCAGGTTGAGTGTTCGGATGCCGGCGGGTGGCTCCCAACCCTCCCTAGAGTCGGGGCCCTGGGCTGGGGACGCCCCTAGCCCACCCCTCTCACCAGGTAAGGGGCACTGTCCCCCCAGGGCCTCCCTCAGGGGTGCCCACCCACGATGTCCTACAGCCCCCACAGAAAGTGGGGTGTTTAGAGGGTCTCAGCACGCGGCAGGGCCCCGTCCGAGGCCCCGGCTCTGCCTGCTGTTTCCTGGGCCCCACCTCTGTCCGTCGGGGCCCAGCTGGGGTTTTTAAGATGGACTAATGCAAATGGTTCTGATAGACTCTTAGACATTAATGGCCAGAAAGTGGCTTCACGCTCAATTCCGCAGGGGGCAGCCCGCCCCGGCCCCGTCTGCGTGGGGTGGGACGGGAAGCCAAGCCAGCCCTCACCACGCTGGAAACGATGGGCCGCCTGGGCGGCCCGTCCTGAGGGCCTGTTAGCAGCACCTGTCTGGGGCTCTGGCCTTGCGGGTTCTCTCGCTTGGTGCGGCGGCCGCGCTTTGCAGGGAGTCGGGCCTGTTGCTCCCGTTTAACAGATGAGGGTGATTCGGCATCAGGAGCTCAGGGGCCTGCCCGTGCGGGCCTGTGCGGAGCCCGAGGCGGTGCTGGGCCGGACCGCGGAGCGCAGCGACCTGCTGCCCACGGAGCTGGGGTCCTGGGGTGACCAGAAACGGCCCTGGAGAAGTCCCGTGAGTGCCAGCTTCGGGCCAGGCCCTGTAAGTGCGCCCCGTCCACTTCGGGCGCTGCGCTCCCGGACCCCCAGGCTGCGGGGCAGACGCGCCTTCCCAGCCGGCATCGGCCGTTGGGGCGAAAGCTGGAGCTCCCCTGCGCCTTCCCGGGCGGCTCTCGGGGTCAGCAGCCGCCCGCTCGCCATCCATTTCGCGCCACGGTTTGGCGTTCTCCAGCTTTCTGTGCATGTCGCTGTTGCCGACGGCGCGGGCGCCCGTCCAGGCCGCAGGCCCCGAGCTCGTCCCGCCGCGTCCGGGGCTGCTCCTGGGCGGCAGCTCCCCAGCCAGCCGGCCCGTGTGTGCGGGACACGGTCACGCGCCGCCCAGGGAGTGGACACCTCGACGGCTCGCGGGAGGCCACCCGCGTGTCCCGTCCTCGCGGCTCGGCACGCCCGGCTTTGAGCAGCGGCCCGGGCGGGAGTCCTCTGCGCGCCGCACGTGTCTTTCTTGCTCTTGGCGTCCATGGCAGCATCGAGGCAACGGGTTTGGACGGGTTCTTGCCCCACACACGAGTGGACGAGCTGGCTGCCGCTGCCCGACTGCAAACCAGCCCCACAGACCCAAACGGCCCCCGCGGGAGGGACACCTCTTTGCGTTCTCCAGGCCCTGGAGGCGCCTGCGGCCGCAGGTGCCACAAGCTGGGTGTTGAGTCCCGCCTCCGCCCTCACCGCTGAGTCCCATGGGAAGCTACTGAGCACCCTGTGCCTGAGCTCCCACCTGCCCTGGGGTAATCCCCGCCAAGCCGAGGCCTACCCCTGCGGCCCTTAGCTGTGCGTGTGGAGCGCTCGGCCTTCTTGGTCTCCCAGGGCGCTTCAGAGCAGCTCAGGGCGCTCACTGAGCCAGGGCTTCTGATGGCCTCCTCGGAGGCCTGGAGGGCCTTCTCTGCTCCCCTGTGTGCTCCCGGGACAGACAGTGATGGGGGTAAAATGCCGGCCCTCTCGCTTCTGGGGTCTGAACACCATGGACCCCTGGCCTAGCACATTTGTCCCCAGAAGGGCAGCTAGGCTGTTAGGAAAGATCAGCCCCCGAGGGGCAGGTGACACAGCACGGGAAGGAGACACTCCCCCTCACACAGATGTGTGACAGATGGGGGGAGGGAGAATCTAGCCAGCCCTGGGGGGGATGGAGACGGTTCTATCCTGGTCCGCGGGATGCCGTGCAAGGAAGTCCTATTCCGAGGCCCTTGGCCTTGTGTTTGTTCGGGCCTCTCCTTCCTGCATCTGTGCTGATTTGACTTCCCTGGAACAGGTACCTTGGCCTTGAGCCAGGACCTGGGCCCTCCACTGTCCCTGCTGTCACGCCCTGACAGCCTCTGTCCAGTTCACGCCAAGTCAGTCCCAAGAGCTCTGTGTTGGGACAGGGATAGCAATGAAGACTGGTGGTGCCAGGCGAGTGCGGGTGACCGGTCAGGTTCTCGGGATGGATGCCTCCCAGGAGCTCCTGCGTCTGAGTGTGGCCATCAAAGGGGCTCCCTAGCTTTGCCTTCTGTTCCATCAGGGGCAGAGAGACCTGGTTTTTGTACCCTCTTTGGATGGGCAACTTGCGCTGGGACTTGAACCAGTCGCCTCTCTTCAGTCTCCCTTCCCAGAAATCGGAGCCCTGGAGCTGTTCCCTAACTATTAGGCTGGTGGCAAGTCTTCCACAGTCACCTGATTCAAATTCCAGTAGGATATAGTAGATGTGTGTAAGCCTTCTGAGTCATGGGTTTTTTTAGAAACACCACCCTTTTAAGTGTGTTATAAACTGCATTTCCATTTTTTAAATCTGCTCGTCTACATCTGTGCCAGTACAACCCATGTCTGAATTACTGTACCCTTGTCGTCAGTCCTTCATTTTATTGTCTTTCAAAGTGGCCATGGCTAGTCTCAGTCACTGGCATTCATATAAACCTGTATAAAATGTGGAATCTGCTTGCCAATTCCCTACCCCCACAGAAAAGTCTTTAAAATCTGCTGGGATTTTTGTTGGACTTGCTATTTGAGAGGAATCAACAAGTTAATTTAGTCCATGAAAGTGGTCTACCCCTTCTTCCATTGAGTTTTTTTGTTTCTCCCTACCATTTCAGTCATTGTCAGTAAAGAGGACTTGCACATCTTTCTTTCTTTCTTTTTTTAAAGATTTATTTATTTATTTTATACAAGAACCAGGGTACAGGCCAGATGCACGGGAGGGTGAGAGGATTCACCAGAGACAGAGCGGGGAACAGAACAGTCAGACTGATGAAATACACTGCTGAGGGGAGCAGCGGGCATGATAGGAGAGGTCTGCCGCACCATGTGGGACCCTCACCAGCAGGCCGGGATCAAACCCATGCTGCAGAGGCTGCGGACAACTTCACAGCGCTGCGCTCAACTGCCCGTGCCATCAGGGGAGCAGGGGAGGCCCACACATCTTTCTTTCTAGATATTCCTAAGTTTTGGATGTTTTGTTATTATTGAAAATGGTATTTTTAAAATTTCACTTTTCATGTCTTTTTTGTGAGTTGTAGAAATATAATGTTTTCTATCTTTACCTTGAGTCCAATGGTCTTACTTAAATTCTTGTTTAATTCAAATAACTTGTATACTCCTT